TTAAATCATGGTTTGAGGACTTCAGTAACTCAGCCAGAGCTTATGGGTCTATTAAAGGAGTAGGTAGGTGAAGTTCTGTAGCCTGCGATGAGCAGGAGGTCAGACTAGAAAATCATGATAGTCCCTTCTGGCCTTAAAGTCTGAGTCCAGAAGGAAGCTGGGAATTTCCAAGCTAAACTGGAGATTCAGTGAGTAGTGTTCTTCCATCTGAACCAATGCCTTGAGGTTGGAGATACCTTCTTTCAGTTGAGATGTAGCTGAGATCCTGACCAGCTGCAATCATTCCTAGCTGTCTTTCTCCTAATTTGCTTGAGTGCATGTGTGCCCTTTTAGTGAAATCAGCTTGCTGATTGGCAGTTGCTATATTGCCATGTCAGCAAGATATCTTCCTTTGTTTTAGGCAGTGTTACTGTAGCCGTGTTGGTCCCAGGATATTAGAGAGACAATGTGGGTGAGGTAATATCTTTTATTGGACCAACTTCTGTTGGAGAGCAAGACAAGTTTTTGAGCTTACACATAGCTCTTCTGACCAGGGTCTCTCAGGCAGAAGCAGCTCTGTCCTGCTCTCCACCCAGCTGCCAGGGAGAGCAGCCAAACATGCTGTGGGGGGAGGCATAGGGAGAGAAGGACAGAGCTTCCCCCCCCCCCCCCCCCCCGCAGGTAACGTGGGGTGGAGAGAGCGCGGTGGTTCCAGGCTGGCCACAAGGCAGGGGGCGGTCAGTGGGCAGAGGAGATGTGGAGTGATCATGTCCTCCCCTTTAGATTGTGCCCCCCCTAGTACGGGGAGGCACAAGTCATCTATACTGGAAGGTTTCAGGTACAACTGCACCCGACCTTCCTACCAAAGGTGGTTTCGCAGTTCCATAGTAACCAGTATGTCTCTGTCAAGGTTCCTCCCCCACTCTGAACTCTACGGTACAGATGTGGGGACCTGCATGAAAACCTCCTAAGCTTACCTTTACCAGCTTAGGTTAAAACTTCCCCAAGGTACAAATTAATTTTATCCTTTGTCCTTGGAATAACCACTGCCACCACCAAACTCTAACTGGGTTTACTGGGAAACATAGTTTGGACACGTCTTTCCCCCCAAAATCCTCCCAACCCTTGCACCCCACTTCCTGGGAAAGGTTTGGTAAAAATCCTCACCAATTTGCATAGGTGACCACAGACCCAAACCCTTGGATCTGAGAACAATGAAAAAGCATTCAGTTTTCTTACAAGAAGACTTTTAATAGAAATAGAAGTAAATAGGAGTAAAGGAATCACCCCTGTAAAATCAGGATGGTAGGTACCTTACAGGGTAATTAGATTCAAAACATAGAGAATCCCTCTTGGCAAAACCTTAAGTTACAAAAAAGACACACAGACAGAAATAGTCATTCTATTCAGCACAATTCTTTTCTCAGCCATTTAAAGAAATCATAATCTAACGCATACCTAGCTAGATTACTTACTAAAAGTTCTAAGACTCCATTCCTGTTCTATCCCCGGCAAAGCAGCATACCGACAGACACAGACCCTTTGTTTCTCTCCCTCCTCCCAGCTTTTGAAAGTATCTTGTCTCCTCATTGGTCATTTTGGTCAGGTGCCAGCAAGGTTACCTTTAGCTTCTTAACCCTTTACAGGTGAGAGGACTTTTCCGCTGGCCAGGAGGGATTTTAAAGGGGTTTACCCTTCCCTTTACATTTATGACAGTCTCCCTACCAGTCTTCTATCCAAAAACCACATGCTAACAGTGAGGAACCAGACACTTCACTCGCTGGATTTTAGGCGTGCACTAGCCTTTTACATAGAAAGGACTAAACCCTTTCAGAAATGCACTCAGCTTTTTGTAGCCATTGTAGACAGAATGAAAGGCCTTCCAGTCTCAACCCAGAGAATTTTATCATGGATCACTTCCTGTATCCACACATGCTGTGACCTAGTGAAGGTCCCAGCTCCTCCACTGACAGCCCATTCTACAAGGGCTCAAGCATCAGCGGCAGCAGCCCTGGTTCAAGTTCCGATTCAGGACATTTGTAGAGGGGCAGCATGGTCATCAGTCCACACTTTTGTGTCCAACCGCCATCACCCAGCAAGCTAGGGACTATGTGGGTTTCAGCCAAACAATGTTACAGTCAGCATGCCAATGAACTCCGAACCCTCCACCTGCGGAACTGCTTGGGAGTCACCTACATTGGAATGGACATGAGCAAGCACTCGAAGAATTAAAAGCGATTACTAACCTTCCATAACTGTTGTTCTTTGAGATGTGTTGCTCATGTGCATTCCAAAACCCACCCTGCCTGCCTCTCTGTCGGAGTTAGTCAGCAAGAAGGAACTGAGAAGTCGGCAGGGCCCTTTATACCAACTCTATGAGGGTGTGACTCCAGAGGGCACCAGAGCCAACCAGATGGATACCACCTAGTGAAAACTTTCTGGCGGCGGTGCTCGGGGCAAGCACACAAACCTACATTGGAATGGACGTGAGCAACACATCTCAAAGAACAACAGTTACGGAAGGTTAATAACCATTTTTTGGTCAGCATCTCTTGCTTTTTGAAAATACCACTTAGTCTGCACATGACAATTTAAACTGGAAACCAAAAGGTGTTCTGTGTATGTGTATATAATTTATATACTATCAAATAGATTTATAAGACAATAATCTGAGTGTCTAAAGATTTCACAAAGTATCAGAGAGGTAGCTGTGTTAGTCTGTATCCACAAAAACAACAAGGAGTTCGGTGGCACCTTAAAGACTAACAGATTTATTTGAGCATAAGCTTTCGTGGGTAAAAAAACCCACTTCTTCAGATGCATTCAAAAGTTTATGCTCAAATAAATCTGTTAGTCTTTAAGGTGCCACCAGACTCCTTGTTGTTTTTAAAGATTTTACAGACACTTGCTACGCCCCTTCTCACTTCCACCCAGCTGCTGCCATGTCCTTTCCATGCATGTGAAAAACAAAACAATGATGAGAAAACAACGTCTCTGGAGAACAGTGGTGGTTGTTGTCCATGCCATGGCCCCTACGTTAAGCACAGTTGCTCTTTGTTGGGAATAGAAATACCAGCTGAGCATGTCATGGGTGGGGATTTGTTTTGTGTTTCTTTGCTTTAGACAGGATGGGAATTCACGACTGGTTTGCATTTCTCCTAGAATTTCCCACTCCCTTTTAAAGGCAACGCCTGTCTGTACTAGTTGTGACACTAGATTTATACCAACTACTACCACTGGCCACTATTGAGGCTGACCAGTGGAAGGTTGCTTTAATTCTTTCATGGGTTTTATTTGCACTAGAGAATTGAACCCTGGTACATACTGCATACAGAAACTACAGTGATGAAGTGATCTAAGAACCGCTGTAGAATAGAACAGTAGCCAATCTAGTGGAATAGCAGTGGTGTAAGTACTGTGGGCATGTATTAGCCATGCCAGTTTCAGTGAAGGTTGCTTGTAGCTTTGCCCCACATCCATACTAACATTGTATCATCATGACAGGTGCACTGCCCTCTGGCTAACTGTCCCAAAGTTCTTGGCAGTGGCTTGTGGAGGAATTCAGACTGGCCTTCAGGGAGCCCACTGGAATTGTGGGAGAGGGGTGAAGTGACCAGATGTCCTATTCTTTTTGCAGGTAATCTTGTTTTTCAGCTGTCTTGCAAATTTGGAGCCTTAAAACTGGCCCATACTGTATGCTCAGCGGCTCCTCCTCCCTAGAAGGAGTGCTCTGGGAAACCATTCTCTACGGTCCCTGAGGGCAACAACACTTCCAGTGAGCATGGGGCCCAGGGGTGAGATGGGGTGAATGCAGGGAACAGGTTCCCCAGGGAGTAGGTGTGACATATGGGCTCTTCTCTTCCCTCCACCCCACCCCACCCCCAAACTTTGATAATCTGGTTACTTTCAAACTCCCATAATTCCCTGGGGAAGAGTTCCATAAATCTAAGGGTGCTAGCACCGTTTCCTAGTCCTTTCAATATGGGGCCAGAGTGAATGCTCTGCTCTGGCTCCTGGTTCAGCAAAGAGAGGCCCCTGATCCAGCATTGGTGAAGCAGCAGCAAGCTGGTTTCAGTGGAGGATGTCGCAGTAGTAACTCTGGAGAGAGAGGCGCTGAGGCAAGCGGTGCAGATTGCATGATGCACCTGCCTCCACCATCCTTACGCAACCCAGAAGCTAGTTACAAGGGCTTAGTATTATTTGTGGAACAGCTTTCAGTACTTTTGATGCTTTTCAGTACTTGATGCTGCTTTTACCCCCTCGAAAGGCCGACAGCCCTCTGTTTTCTATTTCCAAGTGCTCTATTTAACAGAACAGGCAAAGTGTGTGCAGCAGCTAGAGCAGCTTCCCCAAATGCCCTGCGGATGTGCTTCAGACTTGATCTGGAGGACGGTCCTAAAGCTGAGAAGGGAGTTCATTCTCCAGGCCCAGTCAGTCATTAGTTTTTTCTACTGAAGCTGCCAGCCAGAGAGAACGCTTGTGATGAGGAATGTGTGGTTGGGTGGGAGTTTAGGCTCCAAATGCTTGCCCTTTAGGAACCTGGCTGTTGGCCATCACCTTTTTATTTTTTTTTCTCAAAGCCACGTTTATCTCTAATTATTTTTCCTTTTCCTGCTCTCCACCTCAGTTCCTATCTGCATCACACACTAAGGTCCAAATTCTCTGCTGATGTAATTGAAATAATGGCATTATACCTAGAGAGAAACTTGGCCCCAAATTTCAGTCCTTAGCACGTTTTAATAGGCTTATTAATAAACCTCCATAATCAGGAGTTTATAAAAAGAAACCCTGCCCCAGGGTTGTCATAGTAGGGAGAAATGTGCCATCTCAATCTGATGTCCCACTCCTTCCAATGTGGGAGTTTGTCCCTGAATTTCACAGAATTCTCAGCAGGCAACAGACGCTTTTGCCAGAGCTTCCAAAGGTGGCTGGAAAACAGTAGAGCTGTAAAAATCAGATCCGGGTTTGGATTTCAACACCACAAAACTCAGGCATGTTCAGGCTCTAGGGGTTTTGTTTAGATCACTACAAAGATAGGAGTTCTTTGCAAAATTCACCTTGACGAGAGACATAACGCTTGCTGCGCCCCGGCACCAGTGTGGATGCCCTGGACTGTTAATGCACTCTGATCGGCCTCCAGAAGTGTCCCACAGTACCTATTCTCGCCATTCTGGTCATCACTTTGAATTCTACTACCCTACCCTCAGGTGACCAACCATCAGACCCCGCTTTTAAATTCTGTGGGAATTTTGAAAATCCCCTTCCTGTTTGCTCAGCAAGGCGTGGAGTACTCAGTGAATATTTTCAGGTCACCATGCCTCCACGTGCCAGGCAATCCCCAGTATGGAGCAATGGCTAGATTCTGGACCTCATCAGTATTTGGTGGGAGGAAGCTGTCCGGTCCCACCTGCGCTCCAGCCGTAGAAATTACTATACCTTCGGGTAGATATCAAGGGACATGATGGAAAGGGCTATGACCAGAATGCACAGCAGTGCAGGGTTAAAGTGAAGGAGCTGCAAAATGCCTACCGTAAAGCCCGCGAGGCAAACGGCCTCTCCGGTGCAACCTGCCATTTCTACAAAGAGCTGGACGCAGTATTTGGGGTGACCCCACTTCCACTCCGAGGATCACCATGGACACTTCACAGCCCAGTTCAACAAGGCAGGGGGAGGAGGAGGAAAGCATCAGCAACGGTGCTGAGGAGGAGGGAGACACCACGGCATCCTTAGATGCATGCAGCCAGGAGCTGTTCTCAAGCCAGGAGGAAGGTAGCCAGTCACAGCAGCTGGTGCTTGGGAAAGGAGAAACACCAGAGGAGGTGCCTGGTAAGTGGCTTTTATTTTGGGAAGGAAGTTGTTCAGTGCGGGCTCTTGGGGCGAAAAGGGTTAGGGCTGCATGCATGCCTAGATGCAGAATAGGGCGTTGATGTGCTCTCACATCACGGTAATCGGCCTCAGTGGTCTCTTCAAAGGTCTCATGCAGAAGCTGGGCAATGCGCTTGCGCAGGTTCCTTGGGAGAGCTACTGTACTCCTTGTCCCAGTCAGGCTAACGTATCCGCGCCGCTGTGCCATGAGGGGCGGGGGGACCATTGCTGCACATAGGCAAGCTGCGGAAGCCACATTGCAGTAGAAGACCCTCCCTTGCATCCCAGGTCACCCTCAGCAGCGAGATATCTTCCAGGACAAACTCCTTTTGAAAATGTGGGGACAGTGTTCAGTATAGGGGCCCCCTGCAGCTATTAGCTCTCCCCAAGGCACAGAATCCCAGAGGACAGTACATCCGTGAAACAATCAGTCCCCCTTGCCCCTGTGCTTACTCACCATTTTGGGGCTCCTGTGGGTTGTGTGTGCTCACTTTGGGATGGGAAAATTCTGCTATTGTGTAGACTGTGCTCGTCTTTAAGTACGGGCCAATCATTGCTCTGTCTGGTGTGAACAATGCTGCCTCTGTTAAGTGTTGCATTTTGCCTTTACAGATGCAACCTTGAGATCTCAGCCGTCTGTGTTATCTCCGGCCAAAAGACTCCAAAGAATTAGGAAGAGGCCACGTAGAAGCAAAGAGGACATGCTGCATGAAGTAATGCAGCAGTCCCTTAATGAAAATCAAAAAGCGCAAGAGTGGCGGGAGAGTGAAAGGAGGGTCCGCCAGCAGAATGCGGATCGCCGGCACCAAAGCATGGAGCGGCTGCTAAGCATTATGGAGCGCCAAGCGGACTCGATGCATGCTCTTATAGCCATGCAGGCGGAGCACTACCGCGCCCACCTCTCCCTGCAGCCCTTGTCCCAAAACTCTTTCCCTTGTGCCACCATGTCACCTCCAACCCACTTTCCCCCACATCCGGGTTCTTATCACCACCAGCTGCCTCCAACACCTGTAGCTTCACTACCCAGCCCTGGAAACTATGACCTTTACCCACTGCACTCAACTCCAATCACCATGCATTTTAGCCAGCCTGAAGTGCAGCACTCATTGTACAGCACTCCAGACAGGAAGGCAGAGTATGATAACAGGACATATGCAAATCTGTGATTGAGCCATTCACCACACCACCCCCTTGCCCTTTCTGTTTCCCAAGCAGTTGTGTTTCTTTCAATAAATGAATTTTCTTTTAAATAAATGGATTTTTTGGCTTTGAAAACATTCTTTATTATTGCATTAAGTAAAAGATATCTTAGCCCAGGAAAGCAACAGCCACTGCAAGTCAGTGTAGCAAACACAGATTCCTACTAACATTGGAACCACCGCTCTTCACTCCTGTGCAGGGCACCAAACATTACTGTTGGCTTTCAGCCTCAGATTGCTCCCTTAAGACATCCCTAATCCTTGCAGCCCCACACTGGGCCCCTCTAATAGCCCTCTCTCTTGCTATTCAAATTCAGCCTCCAGGCGTTCATAGAATCATAGAATATCAGGGTTGGAAGGGACCCCTGAAGGTCATCTAGTCCAACCCCATGCTCGAAGCAGGACCAATTCCCAGTTAAATCATCCCAGCCAGAGCTTTGTCAAGCCTGACCTTAAAAACCTCTAAGGAAGGAGATTCTACCACCTCCCTAGGTAACGCATTCCAGTGTTTCACCACCCTCTTAGTGAAAAAGTTTTTCCTAATATCCAATCTAAACCTCCCCCACTGCAACTTGAGACCATTACTCCTCGTTCTGTCATCTGCTACCATTGAGAACAGTCTAGAGCCATCCTCTTTGGAACCCCCTTTCAGGTAGTTGAAAGCAGCTATCAAATCCCCCCTCATTCTTCTCTTCTGCAGGCTAAACAATCCCAGCTCCCTCAGCCTCTCCTCATAACTCATGTGTTCCAGACCCCTAATCATTTTTGTTGCCCTTCGCTGGACTCTCTCCAATTTATCCACATCCTTCTTGTAGTGTGGGGCCCAAAACTGGACACAGTACTCCAGATGAGGCCTCACCAACGTCGAATAGAGGGGAACGATCACGTCCCTCGATCTGCTCGCTATGCCCCTACTTATACATCCCAAAATGCCATTGGCCTTCTTGGCAACAAGGGCACACTGCTGACTCATATCCAGCTTCTCGTCCACTGTCACCCCTAGGTCCTTTTGAACCTCCAAGTTCCATGCCTGAATGAATCTTTCACTGTTCCCTTCACAAATGTTATGGGGGGTACAGCATGCGGATATAACTGTGGGGATGTTGTCATCGGCCAGGTCCAGCTTCCCATACAGAGCGCCAGTGGCCCTTTAAACAGCCAAAAGCACACTCCACCCTAGTTATTCTGCACTGACTCAGCCTGTTGTTGAACTGCTCCTTGCTGTGTAGGGTTTCATGAGCCACAGCATTAAAGGGTAAGCGGGGTCTCCAACGATCACAATAGGCATTTTGAGTTCCCCTACGGTGATCTTCTGGTCTGGGAAAAAAGTCCCGGCTTGCAGTTTCCTGAACAGGCCAGTGTTCCAAAAGATGCTTGCATCATGCACCTTTCCGGGCCAGCCTGCGCTAATGTCAATGAAGCGCCCACGGTGATCCACAAGCGTCTGGAGAACCATGGAGAAATACCCCTTCCGATTAACGTACTCAGAGGCTAGATGGGGTGGTGCCATAACTGGAATATGCATCCCATCTATCGCCCCTCCACAGTTAGGGAAACCCATTGTGCAAAGCCAGCCACAATGTCATGCACGTTACCCAGAGTCACGGTTCTTCTGAGCAGTATGTGATTAATGGCCCTGCAAACTTGCATCAACACGATTCCAACGGTCGACTTTCCCACTCCAAACTGGTTAGCGACTGATCGGTAGCTGTCTGGAGTTGCCAGCTTCCAGATTGCAATAGGCGCTTCTCCACCAGCAGGGCAGCTCTCAATCTCATGTCCTTGCGCCACAGGTTGGGGGTGAGCTCAGCACACAGTCCCATGGAAGTGGCTTATCCTCATCTGAAAGTTCTGCAGCCACTGCTCGTCATCCCAGACTTGCATGACGATGTGAACCCACCACTCAGTGCTTGTTTCCCAAGCCCAAAAGCGGCGTTCCACGGTGGTGAGCATGTCCGTGAATGCCACAAGCAATCTCATGTCATATGCGTTACGCGAGTCAACATCATCGTCGGACTCCTCACTGTCAGTTTGTAGCTTAAGGAGTAACTCAACTGCCAAACGTGACGTGTTGGTGAGACTCGTCAGCATACTCCTCAGCAGTTCGGGCTCCATTCCCGCAGACCGAAAGGGAAGACAGAGTGTGCAGTACAAAAAATGTTGAAAGATGGCGCCAAATGTGGTCGGAAGCACAGGGATTGCTGGGATGTGAAGCGATGCATCATGGGGCATTGGGACAGGACCCAGAATTCCCCGCCCCTCTGCCCCGTTCCCACAAGCCACAGTGCCAGAATGGGAAGAGGTGCTCTGTGGGATAGCTGCCCATAATGCACCACTCCCAACACCGCTGCAAGTGCTGCAAATGTGGTCACGCCAGTGCGCTTGTTCCTGTCAGCGTGGACACACTGCAGCACTTTCCCTACTGCGTTCTCCGAAGGCAGGTTTAACTTCCAGCCGTCTACATCTGCAAGTGTAGCCATGCCCTATGTAAGATCAAAAGCTTGTCTCTCTCACCAGCAGAAGTTGATCCAATAAAAGATCCTACTTCTCCCACTTTGTGTCTCTAAATTCAGCTGACACATCCATGAAAGATGGACAGGAAGTGTTTCAAAATGCACTGCAGTATACACAGCTAGAGTCTATCTATCTTACTATCGCACTCTAGCACCAACCTCCTTTAGTCAAATCCGTTACGGGGGAAGTTATTTGTATATAATTCTGTCTTTGTCAGGAGAACTTAGAGCCAAATTCACATCAGTGGGCACAGCCAAGTCAATGGAAGTTACACAAGGATTGGATTTGACCTACGACCTTGAAACTAATGAGCCAGGTCCCATGCAACATGTGAGCAAGAGGTGGGGTTATTTTGGGGTGGGTGTTGGAGACAACCAATGAGAGCAATAGGGGAGAGCATGACTAGAATTGTTATGTTTTTCATAACAGTAGTTCCCCCCAATAGGAGTGAGGTGGAGTTTGCCGATAAAGCACAGAAATAAACGCTGAAACACAGCACTGGGAGAGTGTACACAGCTTGGAGAAAGGAACAGGAACATAACAGCTGGAGGGGAAGAAGGACAATAGGGCGTAGACTTCAAAATGTAAGTGTCTTGTCCAGTTTTGCATCCACTTTCTAACAGCAGGTGCCCATTGAATGGCATGGCCAGGCTGCTCTCCCTCCCCACTGTTGCTATAGGAAACCCTCTGTGACAGTCCCCAGTGTTTTTCTTCTCTCCCTGACCCCATAGTGAGTGCTGTGAGAGAACAGCCAGCCCATGTGAGATAGCAGCAGCAGGATGGCGTATGTAGATGGGGCAGACGTGCCTTAAAGCTGGAGAAGAAGTGGAATCCTCAGGGGAAGAAAAAAGTTCCTAATCTCCGATCTAATGGGCAAAGGGAAAGTCATATAAATCAATAACAGAGGGAAACCCAGCTAAAGTTTACTGTAGATCTAACTGTAGAGCTGCAACTAACTATAAATGCTGGTGCTATTGTTCCCATTTGGAGAACTGTCTGTAAATGCCAGGACTATTGCATGTTGGAACATATTCTTTTGTCCTGTGGTCCAATGTCTCATTATGCTTAGTCATGCTCTGTTCTTTGCATTTCATAAGCAATGTTTGCTGTAAGTAGTACACAAAGGTTCCACTTATATTCAGGAATTAACAGCATTGGCCAGAATGTTAGACCATGTGATGAGTTTTGGGGGCAGGAGGGATGGTGAAGTCAGTGCTAGGGGGAGAGACGCTTTCTACTCCAGTGTCCAAGAGAAGTGGGAGCATGAGAGAGAATTCCTTAAATAATCAGAAATGACTAAGTGCTTTTCATCAAAGAGCAGTGAGAAAAGCAGTGCTGAAACCTGGGAGAGATGGCAGAGATACAGCGTCACTGCCACTGAATCAGGAATAGACAGGAGTTAAACCCCCAAATACACTGTCAGGTCTGACCCTGGGCTGATTGTATCTGCTTCTGACACATCTTTGGAGTCTGTCACTCTTTTCTTATGCCTTGGTAACCTGTATCATTTATTGTGCTATAGAAGTGTGTGTGTATTACAGTTGGATCTTCTTGAATGGCCCCTTTGATAAGCAGCCTGCCTGCAGAACTGAGATGATCCCACTGCATCTGTTTACAGGCAGGGCGTAGATATCGTGCCTGGCATTCCCTGCGGCTAAGTCACAGGAGTTTACAGATGCATCTTGAGGTTTACGGGCATCAGTGTCTTGCGGTGTGGCTCTCTGATGCTTGCATGCTAGTTCCCTCCTCTGTTGTGACTGCTTAAAGCAGCTGCTCTTAATTTAGTAGAAGCTTTTAAATGTTTGAGTGCTCTGTACACTGCTTATTTGAAGGGTAATATGTGAAATCAATATGAATAATTTCCTTTTCTACAGCATCTTTCACCCTGAAGGCTCCCAGAGGGCTATACAAACTAATATACAAATTATGTGGGCTCAGTGCAGCCACCTCTGAGGTGGAACATAGCAGCTGATTATCAGCACACAGCAATGCTACAGAACAATTTAGGACAGGAAGTATAAATAAATGCCATCTCTGTTTAAAGCTAGAGGGGAAATTTAGGGATGGAAAATTAATCAAGAGAGAAATTGACTAGGTCAAAGGGGTTAGAGTTCCAATTCTTGCAAAAGTGCCCATGATCTTTGAGACAATAAACTGATCTTATTTATATTTGCAAAGTGCCATGTAAACGAGTATAATATACTACGTAAAATACTATAAGGCAGGGGTCAGCAACCTTTCAGAAGTGGTGTGTCGAGTCTTCATTTATTCACTCTAATTTAAGGTTTCATGTGCCAGTAATAATAATCCATGTGATCCATGCTGAGCTGCCCCCACCTTGGCCGTCTGCACCCCTCAGTGCCCCAGGCTAGGGCCAGAGGGCTACAGCTGGGAGTGGCTACAGAGCCCTGGGCCAGCAGCCAGGACCCCAGGTTGGCAGCAGAGCCCTCCGCACGGTTGGCGAGGACCCGGAGCCGGCAGTGGGCTGAGCAGGGCCAGCGGCCGGAACCCCAGATGGCAGGGGGCCAGCGGCCAGTCGCCCAGG